CTAATAGGCAACCGACGGAATGGGAAAAGATAGTTGCAAATGACATATCAGATAAAGGGTTAATATCCAGAATCTTTAAGGAACTCACCAAACTCCACACCTGAAAAACAACCCAGTGAAGAAATGGGCAGAAGATATGAACAGACACTTCTCCAAAATTCACATTTCAAAGGGCATGCATTGCTCATGGTTCTGCTCATGGTTACAATTTAGATCACATAAGAGTTGCTTTCAGACTAAAAGGATTATGGTGGAATAGGTAGATATATTTATATATCTCATTAGAAAAACCCATGAGAGTCATCTGAGTCATTGTTGATCACAAATATGTGATCAAAAAGTTCCTACGGATTTGTGTCAAAAGAACATGCCCACAGTTATTTTGGCAGAGATTAACTTAAACTCTTAGTTATTGATATTAAAAAGGTCCTGAGAGAGTCATGCAGGGGGCTGATTTTTCATTACATAACCTGAGGAAACAGTTCTAGGACTGTATCTACCAATTCTTGATCTCTAACCCTGAAGGGAAACAAAGCTTAGTTAAAATTACTGAACTCATTAAGGTAGCTGGGCTATGAAAACAAATAGACCCAAATGGAGAATGATTCCAATATAATGAAAGTTTTTTCCTTGCCCAATAAACAGCTTCCACAATGAGTCAGGGACACAAACCCCTCCTCTCACATGTGGCTCTGCCATTCCCAAGGCAGGTCGTTCTATCAGCAGAAAAGGGGAAGAGGATGTGGAAGGGGCTCACATCCTTCTGGAATGTCCTGTCCCAAAAGCAATACACAGCACTCTTGCTCATATTCTATTGGTGAAAACTCATCAGTTGGTTATACCTTACTGCAAAGGATGATGGGACATGTGCTCTAACTGTACCTAGAAAGAAGAGGAAATGGATTTTGGTGAATAGCTTGGAGTCTTTGCCACAGTGAGCCTTCTAGTTATTAAATATTCATTCTTTTCACATACATAGAACACATAGACCCCTTCCCAAGGGAGACTACCCAAAGTCTTCTCCAGTTACTGCTTTTGGCTCAAAGTCTAGGATCCCTGCATGATGATCAGTCCTCTGTAAGATCAAGATGTAGTCCCATGCAGTCTGACATACTTATGAATCAAAAAGTAAACTATTTCCCCTTACCACTCCCCAAACACACAGGTAAAATATACAATGATAAAACCAGGCCAGGAGAAATGTCATCAAAAGCACAATTCAGGAAAGGCATGAGAAGGAAGCATACAGCATTCAGTAGTTCATTGCAACAATGAACTCATGCTGGGAAGGTATTTGTCAGTGAAGGAAGTTCTGTGATTGGACACTGGATCTCCATTCTGGGAGGAACGCTGTTGTCCATTGTTGTTTTGAGAGTCTCTTCTTGTTTCTTCATCCTCCCTGACCATGTCAGAAACAGCTCACTGAAGAGTACTGTCCTTTGTAGGAGTTATGTGGTACACAGGATAGCCTGTGTCCTGCTTGTGTGAGTTTGGGTGCCCAAATATTACTTTAAGGCTTACTCAAAGGACTTTGAGACTGGAATCAAGATTCATTTGACAGTACAGTTCTGTCAAAAATTTACTAGACTTCTGGTCAATTTACATGTAGTCAGTTTTATGTGCTAGTATCGATACCTTAAATTATTCCATACACATTGTTTACAAACCTTGTTGATTTCTTTACTAAACCTTATAAAGGCAAGGATTCTATCTTGATTTGTCACTGTATACCCAGAATCCAGCACCCAGCATTTGTCTGTAGGAAAACAAAGTAGGAACAATTATTGAATACATAAAGTACCTAACATAATACCTGTGATATTGGTGTTAGGGTCTTCAACAATGGTAGCGATTAACAATGAAGCAAGAAACTCATTGGATAGGAGACAGCAACCTAGGTGCTTAATTCTGGCTCTGCTGCTATACAGTGCAAGTTATTTTCCTCATATTCTGAATCATCCTTACATTGTTGCTATTGTTTTTTACTTAAATTTTTATTTTATTTTATTTTTATTTTTTAGTGCACAAGTGGGGGAGAGGGGCAGAGGAGAGAATCTTAAGTAGTCTCAATCCTACGACCCTAGGATCATGACTTGAGCCAAAATCAAGAGTTGAATGCTCAACCAACTGAGCCATCCAGGCGCCTCTGATTTGCACTTTTATAATTCACTCCCAATCCTTACTTTTTTTTTTTTTTTTGCACTTCTGTGATTCATTCCCAACTCTTGATGATGGAGGGAAAGCTTTATCTTGAGATCAAATTGCCATGAGAAGCTCATTGGCAGATCTGTAGAAAAGTCTTCAAAACTACAAGTGCTATAAAGGTAATAGAATTTGTTACAAGAAGCAATTGGCATCCAGCCCAGTGTGATCCATTAAACACAGGCTCCACCAGATACCATGAGATTTTGGGCAAGGCCTCTAGTATAGCTTAGGTGGTTAATGTTTGAGAACCCTGTGATGGTTCATGTACCTTTGGAAATGCAACTTTGGATACACTTTTCCTGAAATTGGATTGTTTGTAATGATGTGGCAACATGTCTAATATCACAGAATACTTAAGGTGAAGGTGGACTGTCCAGTGTGTGGTGTGGGACTACTCTTTAAAACTGACTATAGGCCGGAGATCCTAGCCCTGGCTGCACATTACAGTCACCTGGGGAGGTTTTTTATCAATACCAGTACTTGGACACCCCCCCCACTTCCAGAGACCCTGACAGAAGTGCCATTTTAAACCCCCCCCCCCCCCAGTGCTTCTACTTGAGAACCACTGCTTTTAAAAGGGAAGTATGTCATTGGGAAGACATTCTGTTTGCAGCTGCTTCTAGAGGTGAGAAGAGTATCCTGCCTCCATTACAGTTTTTATCCAGTGTTATGTCTCGGATTAGTCAGGATCTTCCTTTTGGTCACCTGCTTAGATGAGAATCATTTGCTTTATGAGGGGGGTGGGACGGGCTGCAGGGGTCAGCATCAGCAAGGCTCCATGACACCAGGACGGTGACACTTACCCCTTCCTCTGCAGCACATCATGCTCGTGCAGCGTCAGATGTCTGTGATCGAGGAGGACCTGGAGGAATTCCAGCTTGCTCTGAAACACTATGTAGAGAGTGCTTCCTCCCAAAGAGGCTGTCTACGGTAAGTGCCCCCGCAGGCGGAAGGGGGGGTGGTGGGAAGACACACGTTTGAGAATACTCTTGTGGTTATGGTGATTATTCCAGCCTCCTGGGTGATGCATTTTGCAGACTTTAACTGGATGTTGCTCTTTTCTTCTTGTACTCTGTGTGGATTTGATCACTGGGGGCACCAAGGGAGATACCATCAAGAGAACAATTTGGAAAGGAGAATTTCACATCGCCTGAAACCTCCTCTTTCACATCCAGGCAGGCCCACACTGATTTAAAATCACCTCTGGTAGATGAGGCCCCAACTCCAGTGCATCTAGCCCTGATTGCTCCCTTGGCATCGTGCCCTATAGCCTGATAATCATTTCAGCCATGATGAAACTGCACAATTTCTGAAGTCTTGATTGCAGACCTTGGTCTTTAAAAAAAAAACAAAAAACAACAAAAAAAGCCTCTTTCCATAGCCACCCCTGCTCAGGCTGCTACTAAAATGTATGAACTATTCCTCATTTTCAGTTTCTCCACTCCAAGGGGTCCAATAAACAGTCACTAGAATTATTTTACAGAAACAGTTATTATAGAATCCCCTTAATCAGGAACTGCAGTAACTCTCTGAGTGCCTTAACCAAGTGCTAGATGCTTCTCTGAGGCTACGTTTATCCGACTCAAGAATCCATAGTGTTGCTACCATTGGTTCTTCCTCACCTGAGCTTCCCCAGCTGCCCATCCCTTTTCAGCATGATCTGTGCCTTTGACCTGGCCACTCTCCTTCCCAGAAGTATAGGGCCAGCTGGTAGGTTTTGGCCAAGCCCATGTTCTGCCTCAAGTTCGAAGTCCAGCCCCAAATTCAACTGCATCTGGAAAACTACCACAACCAAAACCACCCCTGCCTTGGGGGTTTGTTTCAACTTCATAATGCTTTTTAAACATTGCTTTGGTAAAGCTTTTAAATACATGCGTGCATAAGTGAGTATGTACATATGTACACACATACTTTACATCTCTGAGTACTTTGGTGTTACTCCCAGTAATTATATTTTATTCATAGTCCAACAGAATACCTCCCCAGTTCAGAAGTCTGGCTCTGGAGTTACACATGGGATTGTATTAGTTTCGTGCTGTAGGGAAAGATCCTTACTGGCTCTAAGCCTCAGCTCCTCATCAAGAACTTCCTAAGATGATTGCGAGGATTAACTGAGTGCTCAGCACAGTGAGGCCCAGAAATCGTGAGCTGGGATCTCTATCATTTCGTCATCTGGCTGGCTGACCTCTGGCCCACTCTGTAGAGTTTAAGAGGACATGCTCAGTGCTCTTTATGTCAGATGCTCACAATCTTCCAGTCATGCCATTGTGATAGAAACACAGGAAATGCTGTTTGTTTTATTGCTGTTGTTCTACTTCACAGCAAACTCAGAAGGGCTCGTATTGAAACCATTTTCATCCTTTTATTTAGTTCAGTGATGTAGGGATTTGCCAAAGTGAGAGTATATATGGTTTTAAAAGCCTACTCATTTAAAACTGAAGTTTAGGGGCACCTGGATGGCTCAGTCGGTTAAGCGTCCGACTTCGGTTCAGATCATGATCTCGTGGTTCGTGAGTCTAGGCCCTGCATCGGGCTTTGTGCTGACAGCTCAGGGCCTGGAGCCCGTTTCGGATTCTGTGTCTCCCTCTCTCTCTCTCTGTCCCCCCTCCAATCATGCTTTGTCTCTCTCTGTCTCAAAAATAAATCAACTATAAAAATTTTTTTAAAAAACTGAAGTTGAATGTTTGGAAAAAGCAAGAAGGCTGTGAGGTGTGTGTGTGTGTGTGTGTGTGTGTGTGTGTGCATGCATGTCTGCATGTGCACGCACCTGCACACATCCAGTACAGAAAGTAGAGCATGGTACTAGCCAAAGAAATGGAAACATAAAGAAGATAAAGTCTGGTTTGTTTATCACAATCTCCAGGATGGTTTAGCCTTTTTACATTTATAAATATGGCACAAAGTTTGATTATTTTTTTAGGGATCAGAGATCATGCTTTAATGTGTGTCAGGAAAAGGGCCGAAGCCACACCGATGGCCCCAGGATGGGGGGAGCAGCTGTGGGAGAGCAGCTGACTAGGTAGATCTGTGCCGCCTGCCACGATTCTGTTCTCTCAGCAGCAATGGAAAATTGCTCCCTCGGCTCCAGCTGTGATGAACAGGGAGGGGGAGAATCCTCTTCCAGTGAAATAAATTGAGACTCAGCCTCTCCTCTTCCTTTGCACGACTGGTTTGTTTTTTAAGGACTCTTCACTCACTTATTGCTGATTTTTTCAACTGATTTCCTTCTTTTACTGGAAGTCTCAAAAAGTGGACTTCATCAGATGGATGAGCATCAGAGAATCACTCCACATGGGTGCAAACCGTGTGGAATACACGTTATGCTGGCACGCCCTGTCTAAATTCAGTTGTGCCCATTAATCACGTTCAGTGTCCTGTCTGTATCAATTGATGAGCGAATGTCACTGTCACTCACACTGTCAGTTGCATGCTCCAATATGCCCTGCACTGTTGCCTTGTGCTTGGCTGATAAAATAAAACTCTTGAGAATTACCACTTTTGCAGCTTATTCTCCCATAATGTTAGGCTCAGCTTCACCATGGCTAGCTAGGAATTGCTGCTGTAACATAAAGGAGAAATTATGGATTTATTACTAGTTTAGGGAGTTTGTATCCACATCCTTATTTACTCTTCACTGCAGTCATCTGATGTATCACCTCCAGTTAAGGAGGAAATAGGCTCAGATGCATTAACCATCTTGCCCAAATATGTCTGACTCCAAAACCCACATTTATTCCTTCTTGCCAGTATTTGGTCATCCTTGAATTAAAGTTTCTTCAACTTTCTGTGGCTAACCAGGGGTAGAATGGACAGGATCTCTCCTGTTCCAATTACAGGGCCTTACTTTCTTAAATTCAGGCAACTGAATTAGAGAGGCTTTGGCCCTAAAGGTATTTGACTGTGAGACTTCGATGTTTAGGGGCTGACAGAGCCCTTGTCAGAGTAGTGGTCAATTGAGTTTTAAAATGAGTTATTAGTGGAAAAGCCAAGCAAATCAGTCGTGTGACCCATCTATCACACATGTGCACACATGTGCATGTGTGCACTGTTTGATGATCTTTTTGCTTATTTTGCAATCACTAAGGCTTATTAATGCCTGTGGGGGAGGTACCAACTGAATATATGCAATGTACACAGTGTATTCCTAGAACCATGCTTGACACCAGAAAAAGTGAGATTCTGCTTTCAAGGGTCTTAGAATCCAGTTAGGAAAATAGGATACTTACTCATGGCCTAAAATTTCACTGCTGTTAAGTAGTAGAATAAAATGTTTTCTGAAGTCACTGTCAAATGTCAATTCTAGAATTTGTATGTGTTCTAAACTCTATGTCACGAGCCCAGGAAACATGAATGTGGAATTGTATTAGAATTGACCCTGAACTTTACCATGGCCAAAGAATCATCTATAAGAACTAATGACACCCTGTGGCATATTGACCATGAATCATTTTTCAGCATTTTTACGTAGGTGAAGTATATTGGTGCCTGGATCTTGGTATGGAGAAATGGGGACTGTCCCTTCTGTGGGCCTTTTCTCCAGTGGTTAGGTTCTGTGAGTTAACGTAGGACATATGGGGAAAGGAGGAAAGCCAAGAGGAAGAGTCTTCCATGACGATCCAGTTGCCTTGGGTAACTTATGTTCAACCCCAATTGTTCCTGACCACGTCCTTTCCCCTAGAAGCTGTTTCACTGCCATTTTCCAGCTGCTAGGAATATTCAAGGTCTCCTGAAGCTCAGGGCTGAAGCTCTTAGTGACTGTATCCAGGGACAGCTTAGCCAAAGAACTCTTGCTTCAGCCAGTGAGTGGTTAAGTATCACAGGATGTCTGAACACATTGAGGAGCAAGACTGAAACACATAACAGCAGCTCAGAAATATGCTGTGTAATTCTAAGTTTGCAAATAATTGAAAGCTAATCATTCAAGCCCTAAGCTTTTTCAATGGAAATACTGCTGAGAGAAATGTTTCTAAAGATTATTTCATAATGAACCTTTTCTCGGTGGCATTATTGCACATTGCATATGTTATCTGTATTGAACAGTCTCAAGTAGCAATGCCCTTAAACATCATTGCTATGTACTGGTCAGTTTCACTCTTACCTGAAAGCACCCAGTCAGTAGAACAATTTGGATTAGCATTTTCTTTTTTTTTTTTTTTTTTTTTAGCTGAGGCAAATTTTTATTTATATTTTTATTTTTATTTTTTTTTTACAAATAGTTTATTGTCAAATTAGTTTTTACATAACACTCAGTGCTCATCCCCAAAGTGCCCTCCTTCATGCCCATCCCCCCCTCCCCCCCACATCCATCAGTCCTCAGTTTTTGTCAGCATTCAAGAGTCTCTCATGGTTTGCCTCTCTCCCTTTCCCCCACCATTTCCGCCCTTCTTCTCCCCCTTGGTCCTCCGTCAAGTTCCTCCTAATCCTCCTATACGTGCAAACATATGGTATTTGTCCTTCTCTGCCTGACTTATTTCGCTCAGCATAACACCCTCAAGGTCCATCCATGTTGCTACACATGGCCAGATTTCATTGTTTCTCATTGCCATGTAGTATTCCATGGTATAGATAAACCACATCTTCTTGATCCATTCGTCTGTTGATGGACACTTAGGCTCTTTCCATGTTTTGGCTATTGTGGAGAGTGCTGCTTTGAACATTGGGGTACATGAGGATTAGCATTTTCACCCGTGTCCCTTTGAGCCAAAATTTGCACTGGTCTTTTAGCTCTGCCATCTGGCTGTTTACCAGATGACCTGTATTCAGGAAGAAATAGAAGGGTGCAGTACCAACAAGCCTTCCTGCCAGGTCTGATCCTCAGGATGCAAGCATTTCCCAGAAGCCCTTGCTTCCCCAGCATACATTTTTTGCCATCTCATTGGCCCAGCTTAAGTCACATGGGCATTTCTGACTCCTGGGGAAGTGAGGAAACC